TGGGAAAAGTGCATTTTGAAAGGAGCCAAGGGACTAAGACGGATCTAATACAGCTGGCACTGTTTAAATTAAAAGGCAGCGTCTATATTTTTTTCATCTCTTTCGATGAGTGTGAGGGGTGTTTTCAAGGCTGACTGTAAGAATAATTAAGAACTGGTAATGCTTAACAAAATGGAAGTTTTAAGTGGCATTGTGTAATTAATCTTTCAAGACATTCGTGTACACCAGTTTAAAGCAAGGGTTTCACAGTTAAAATCGACTCCTCTGTTCACCTGCAGGAACTGAACTGTGAGTTGTAATCGCCTTTCTCTTGTTATAGTTCCACTTCAGAGTGATTAAGCTTAAAATCTTTTTGTTTACAACCTATATGAAAAAAAAAATTGTGAAACTGATGTTATCTTTCTTTTAATTTTAAAGTGTCAGCAACATTTTTCCTTAATAGCTTTAGACATGTCAAAGACCAAAGAAAGTCATGCCAGTCTGCCCGAGGCAGAATTCACATCCTACTCCAGGGAACTTTGCCGAAGCTTTGAACAAGGAAGACGGTATATTCAAATATGTATTGCATGTTTTAAAACCATAGAGTATACAAATTAAATGCTCCAGGATTATTCACACTTTGAGTATATTTTCTTGCAGAGCTGTATACTCCCTAAAAGGTGATGATGTTGTGTTAACTGGCTGCTGGAGTGTAGAGTAAAAAGTTTAGTAGCTAGATGTAGCAAAACTCCCACTAATTTCATCTTGAACTATGTCAAGTTACCATCCATTTATGCTTTAGATAAATTACATGTCTATTTTGCTCTTCTGGAATGAATTGTGAATAAGCTCATTGTCTCCCTATGTTATAGGAAATGAAAGTAGCTGTGGACTGGACTTTATTGAATTGGTAGCTAGAGTGCATAGCTGGTCATGTCACACAGTGTCTACAATGGAATAATGCAAGTCCATAGAAAAATCAGTAGTTCTTCTATCAGACTCTCTAGAAGGTCACTTTCTGATTTTTCTACTTTTTTTTTTTTTTTTAAGCATTAAGAGGGATTGCTGTTGTGAGACTATATGCAACTGTAATGGATGTACTCCTACCGTAGGTGTCCTGATAGTCCCCAAATATATTGGGTAAAATGTTGTTTCGGTTCTGTGTTTGACAATCTACAATGATTTGTTCAGAGCTGCTAGCGTGTTACCAGCTGGGGACAGAACAGGGCTTTTTCATTTAAACTGAAACAAAATAGAGGAAAACCCACTGTGAACAGCGTGTGTGAGCAATTTTAATGTATCCGGGGTTAAAGACTGAAATAATCTGTGTTCTGAGATCTTGGTTAGGGAATGCTTTGCTTACTTAAACTCTTGGTGTGTTTAAGTACATTGCTGTGCTGCTATCCATTCTCTGTGTTATTGATGAATATTACATGACAGAACACATCTTTTAAATGCTATTTAAAATAGAAACACAAACCCAAAGGGGTCTCTTTGGCCACCAAGTCAGTGCTGTTGTAGCAGGGGACCATATCATCCCTTGATTAGCCATAAACTAGCCCAGAGCTGTTTGCTAATTTTTCTGTTGAATTATTCATCTGCTGTTTGTATTCAGTTCTAGATGTTAATTAACACTAATAACCAAGAAAATGAACCTTAAAATAAATATAAATGTAGTGGGTATTAACAGGTGAATAATATCTGCAACTAAGTGGTTTGTTTGTTTGTTTGTTTGTTTGTTTTTAATATCTGGGAAGTATTTACCAGTTGCTCTGGCTCCTTTTCGTAATTGTCTGCCAGTTGGGATGTCACATTATAAAAATATCAGGAATGGATTTTGTTATGGACGAAGGCTTTTTGTTGGCAGTATGTTAGCTGACTTCCATCCCTGACAACTTCTTGTGTGAACAGGGTGTTACGCACGTCACCGTGTAAGGCTGTGAGCAGTCAGGTTTTGGCTTTTTGTCTATGCAAGATCTCAAGAACACGTAAATGATTTCCTCACTCATTTATAGCACTCAGCTAGAGGTTATGCTTTGTAACATAGATCTTCAAAAGTCCTTTCCAAAAGAAACAGATCTGACTTATGGTGCCCGCAGTAGTGGTGTGTTTTGGTGGCGTGCTTTTTCTGTGGCTGTTCTTGTTTGAGTTTGATAAACCTTTCTTGTCAACTGAGATGATGTGGCGTAAAGAAAATTGGTTTGTCCTTCAGCAGTAGAGAATGTAAGCAGAGGAGACAGGTTTGCTATTTTTTACATATTTGTTTAGTTATTTTGGTGGAGAACTGTGTATTTTCTTATAGCAATTATATAATTATCTAGCCTTTTCTTCTGGGGAATAATCTCGTTACTCATTTCTGCCTTGTTGTTTGCACTTACTTACGCGCTGCTCTGTTGTTGATTACCCACGTTCTTGAAATCTTTCTTGACTTGTGCTTTTTACGAGGGTGAAGATGAGGAAACAGACTGTAAACTAACACGGTGGAGTACTGGCTTGTAAGCATTACCGCAATGCAAGTAAATATGAACAAATAGAAATTGGCCAAATTAAATAGCGCTCCCAGACTAACGCAGAATCTCAGATTCTTTAAGAAAGGCACTAAAGGTAATGTGACTGAGTAGATTCACTCCAGACCTAGGCAGCAGAAACTTGTCATGTTAATTTTCCTTAAGTGTCTCAAAAGTTGTGCCTTGGATTCTCCAGCTATTCAATGAGAAAATACTTCAGCTGAGTTCACAGAGACATCAAAAGTGATGGTTGCTGTAACACACAAAAAATGCATCAATACGATGAAAACCAACAGAGATTTCTTCTGAGTTAATAAATAATTGTTTGTGACTGTTTCCTCGTCTGATAACTTTAACTGCGCTTGCTTAAAAAAACCCGACAAACAGAAGAGAGTAATGCAACTGCTTCTCTAGGCTTGCGTGGGTACATTATGCAGCAGGCTGGCACATATCGCATCAGTAGTCGTAAACTCTTTCTTCTGTAGAAGCAGCAATATGCTTCTGTATCTCTGCTATGTCATGCTGTTATCCTCAACATTTCCATTTCCCCACTCTGTGAGTATATATGCACGCTGTATGTGTTTGCATGTGCATATAACTGTTTCCATGTCTTAAAAGGACTTCTGTTCAAAGTCAATTTTGTAAAGTAATATTGTCTATCGTGGATTTATGCATTATATACATTGAACAGTAACTGTTCCCAAACCTCAGCATTCTGTTGTCTGATATTTTAACAGGGATTTTTAGGTCATAAAGTTGAAGGACAATAACTCTATTGTTTGACAATCTGGTTATTTTGTGTGTCTGGCTTCATCAAAGAGATTCTTGTGTTTCAGAGCCCAGTGTTTTCTGTGCTTGTCTTCAACACTTGTTAAGTTTGACTTTACAATATCTCAGAAAAATAAATCAGCTTCAAATTCCTAATTTGATACAACTACCCATAAAGAACTGGACTTCTTTTGTAATCAGATACTTGTGCTATGTAACACTGCGCTGAAGGGAAACCCACCTGATTGCAGCAGTCTGATGAAGTGCCATTTACCTGGGCCCTTTGGCGTCCAGCCCACAGGAGTGGTTTGACAAACTGCTACTTTTAGAACTGAAACATTAGTTGCTCCTTTACAATGGTTTATCTTGCTGCATTGAGTTTGGCTTGTCTACATTACAGAACTCCACTTTGGAAAGAAACAGAAGCCGATACTGGGAAAGGATTTACATTTGCCCCCAGGTTCCACTGGCGGGCTCACAGCAATGTCTGTGGAGCAGAAGGAAGACTGTTTTCCCAAGTTTAAGAAAGCTAATTTTTCTTGCCACTGAGTATGAACTCTGTACTTTCTTTCACTTACCTCTTTCACATTTCCGTCCTAATAAATCATACCAGTATCCGTTCCAAATACCTTTCTTTTTTCTGTATTTAATATGCACTAACCTGGAAGGCAGTCGTGTTCATTGGTGTTTCTTCATGACTATTCATTTGTGGTTCTTCTTCGCATACTGTTGCTGGAAATAGACTTGTGAAATATTTTGGGGATTCTGTTAGAGATTTTCTCCCCATATAAGCACATAGTATCTTATTGAACAAAAGCCAGGTATCACCAAATAGGAGGGGAAGGAGTTGGTCAAAACGATGCGTGTTGTGTTTCATTACTTGTTGCTTGTTTTCGCTTGTTGCTAACTCCTTGAATAAAATGAGACGGGAATGTAATGGAGAACCATTCATTTTGGATACATGGTTAAAAGTCTGACCAAGTTTATTAAGAGTCTTTCTTGCTTCCTTTTCTGCCCACTATGGAGGAAACCTTTTGGTTTAGCCATTAAATGTCCTGTACGCTTCAAGGCAAAGGAAACTTTAACTTCAAGCTATAACTGATAAAGGTTTTTATATAATTGCATTTGTTTTATTATATAATAAAGATGTCCCTGACTTCAGTGGCAGCACACATGAGCCCCTAGGTTTTGGCAAGGAAAGTTTCAGGATTTTCTTTAAAGTTGTCAGCAGAAAATGTTGTAGCTATCAAAACATTAGCACTGAAAAATATGGAAAGGCTGGTTAAGGGCAGAGGCAAATTCTCACCTACCATCTTTATATAGTTAATGACATATGTATGTATTATATATATATATACTTAAACAGCATAAATGTATATGTAAATTATGTAAATAGGAAAAGTAAAACTTTGCAATCTCCAAAAAACCACTACACCTTAACTCTTTCAGACTGTCACATTATGGGTTGCTGTTTCTTTTACTGAAACGCCACCCACACCTGTCTGCTTTGAAGCCCAGCGCTGACCAGTCTTCTGCTTTGTTGTCTGCTAAGAACCAGACAACATCATTTCTGAGCCTTTTTAGCAAGCTTAGAGACTTCTGGCTCTGTTTAAGCAATGCTAGGGCCATCCATAATTTTCAAGTGCTACTTTATTTACGGCTAGTTACTAGTTTGAGTGACAACAGTATTTTTTCTTGGCTTGTTGCAAAGGTCCCTGAATTCTTGCTCACTTTTTTTTCCACAGGATGTCTCATGTAAGTGAAATGTGGTGCTATCACTGGAAATGGAAGCTGCAGCACTGTCTCTGCTTGTTTACCACTTATATTATATGCATGCAGCAAGCAGGTAAGTGAGCAAATTATCTTCTTGCTTAAATAAATGGTCTAGGAGCCAAAGTTTGAATGACTACCTTATGCTTACACATGACTGAATTATGTACAATACAATATTTTGATGAAAGTGATGAGTTATAATTATTAGTTGTGATTTGATAAGTTAGGTCATATTTTCTGCTACTGCTAAATTTTCTTTTTATTGTTTTTTTTTTTTATCATTGTGCTGTTATTTTTTTTTCTTTGACTTCGTTTTTTGAATTCTTTCATTTTGCCCTTCCTTTGCTTTTACCTTGTTAATACCTACTTCTCTTTTGAATTTCTTCTGGTTGTTGGAATACTGCGAGTAATCAAGTAGTTATTCCATTTTCCACAGTGCTGTTTGTGCCTGCAGATTATGTATTCAGTAACGCTTCACTCTAGTTCAAAACTGTAAAATAACTGTAGCGTGCTTATTATTTTTAAATGCTTTTATGTTTCAAATAATAGAAACATTCCTCAGCAAGCTACATGTACGTAAGATAATCATACACTGTAAAGAACAATCAGTTTAAACTTAACATCATCTTGGTCTGTAGTGACACTTGGATACAGAGTAATATGTAACACATTCTGACTGTTTTCTTTAAACATATGAATGAGAGATTTCATTTACTAAATGTCTTTTCCTAACCACTAGAGTGCAAAATATTTTAGGAGCTCCAGCTGCTTTACTGGAAAAAAACCACTCTGGAGTTTATTCTGGAGCATATGAAAATTTTGGAGCAGCTTGTAGTGCTCAGCTAATTCCGTATCAGATGGGTAGTTTTGCTGTTACAGACTTGCCACTGGAAAAAGGACGGTTTATATATAGAAAGAGTTCCTAGCTGCTTTGATATTGTTTTTTCTCTAAATAAAAAGTGCAGTTGTTTTGGTTGTGTTGTTGTTTTTTTTTTAAAAAAAACCCTGCACTTTTTATTTAGAGAAAAAACAATGCAGTAGCTGTGCAGTAGCAGTTTCCAGCTTCATGTCTCTTTAATAGGTGTTTTCCATTTCCATTTAACTGTGTAGCCAGAAAGTTACTTAGGACCCAACTCTCACCCATGGCTCCGTTGGCTGATGGCTTTTGTGTCCCTGTGTTCCTGGGCCATATGTGATCCTGGGCCACGCAGCTTCCATCCTCAGCATAAAGTAAATCAGGAAAAACTGCTCTAATTTAGAGCTGCTTTGGGCTGTTACCTGGTGACCAGAACATTAAGATCCCAAGACCATTTAGCCTTTGCTAATTCCTCTTGATAAAAGTCTAGTTATTGAAAGTGCGGGTGACACAGCGAGAGTAAGTCCCATGAGCCAGAAGGTCATAGCCACTATGCTGTGAGGACAGAGAAAGCCAACTACAAGCTCATCTGCGCATTCAGCTAATCACAGCATATCATTGCTGGTACTGAACAAGTGGATGGGGTAAAAGCTTTATGCCAAACTCCAAGATGCACTTACTACAAAATCCTATATGCCCCTGGCTAACTGCTTCAGCAATAAAGTGGCTGGTGCCATTGGATTGGTAAAAGCAGCCGAAGTCCTTCAAGTAATTCAGTCTCCTCTATTATAGTTACTGTCTGTGCTCCTTTCTCAGGCACTGGTTTGGCATGTAGGAGACTTCAGAACCAGGTCTCTGATGGAAATCAGAGCAGAGGCCTGAACCTGAGTCTTTTACATCTCAAGTGCATGCCTCTGGGGGCTTTTTCTTTCTTGTTTCAACAGGAAAAGATTTGAAATCTTCAAAACTTTCAATAAATGGAAAAGACATTTCCCTATCTGCCTGAATGATGAGTAGATAAATAAGGTACACTGTAAACACCCAGGTTCAATAGACAAATGTTTGCTATTCAGCAGTGAAAGAGATCATAGATAGTCTGCTGTTAATACTTGACTGAAATGAAAATGAGACATTTACCTTTACAGCAACCTGTCATTTGGAAGTACTTGCCTGTAGACCCTCAGGGTTCACGTTTCTTTTTATGTTGATGTAAAAGCATAGGTTATGCTGCAAAATAGAGTCTTTTAATTTGCTCTTTGAAATAGAGCAAGGCAGACAACGTGGGAAACGCTGCTGCTCCTGCATTTTTTATTTTGTGTTCTTAAAAGGTATTGGTCGCTTTGGCTGTGGATTCATATGGTATCCATAATCTCTCTGGCAGCTTAAGCTTTACTGAGGTTGTAGGAATATTGTAAAACCTGACATTCATCCAGCTTCACTAGTGAGCTGTAAGCCTAGAAAGCTATTGGGGCTTACTAAGCTTTGCCTAGAGGAGGTTACGTACAAGTGAGGGATTAAGATCATCAGGTACAGGTTTTATGGATTATTTAAGGGGCTATTCATAAGGATAAAAATATCAGTCATGCTGTGACATGGAAAAAAAATGCAAAAGTAATAATTTTATAGTTTAGCTTAAGGAGAACTACAGGACTTGGCCTGCTTTCAGAAATTAATCTTAGGAGAAGGATTACACAGCACAACACTTAGAACAGGAGCGGGATACTCTGTGAAAAGAATGTTTAGCCACAAATTGGTCAGTAAGGTACTGACAAGCAGGCGCAGCAGTGGAGCATAACTCCAAAATATATGTCTGATACCTCAGAGGAATCAATGGATACACTCTGACACTTTAAACAGAAAGAAATCATAAAAGATAAATTATAAAAATGTAACATGTACTTTGGTTAAAGTCTCAGCTGTTTTGGCATGCTGCCTTCAGATTGTGTATTGTGACATGGGGTGAAGTTACCGAGCAGTTCAGTAAGCAACTCGACGGGTTTCCATTCCTGTCTGGGGTAGACGTCCCTGATGGCCTCAAGTAAGTCATTTAGCTGCGTCTCGGTTTTCTTGCCCATAACGATGAGTGTATGTCTCGCCTCCCTGGTAAACAGCTTCCCTATCTTTCAGTGGAAGGACTGCATAGAAGCTGAGATGGTGGAATGGTGGTGTTTTAAACAGAATTAGTTAAATCTGCTTTTATCTGACATTCAGACATTCCTAACTTGCTGTTTGTATGTCCATTTTATTGGATTCAGAGAGCCCAAAGAGAACAAAAAGAGTGAAGAGAGTTCTGAAAAACATAACTAATGAGGGCAGACAGAAGGAACTAGAATTTTTTGGTCTAGAGTAGGCAGAAAGGGGAATGCATAAGAACTAAGAATATTTAAAGAGATAGCTGCAGTGGGAAGGTATAGACTGATCTTTCTGGGCAGCTGAAAAGGCAAAAAGAATGGGCTTAAATTACAGCAAGATAAATAAGGGGAGGACATATCATTGAAAGGTATAGATTGCCAAGGAAGACTGGGGAATCTCAGTCCTTGGGAATGTATAGTAATATCTGCCAGAAATGTTTAAATCTATAGTCTTCTTTCCTGGGGGCTGAGAAACACATTAGGTGATTTCCAAACTTCCTTGATCTTTGCCCCATAGGATCTGTTTTGGTTCAAAATCTGGGAAATGGGGCGATCCATTGGAAATTGCACTTCTCAGAATACAACAATGCTTTTACTCTCTCTACAAAATTGTGTTGGTGTTTGTCCTGTTTGCAATGGCCTTGTTTTCAGCTGATATAAGGAAGCAGCACTTCAGTATGGAAAGTAAAAATCGGTTGCTTCAGGTGTGTGTAACTTCACAAAAAGTGCTCAGTTCAGTCTCCCCTTGCTTTTTGGCTTTTCTGCTCTCCTAGCAAAATGTCTGATGTTTCAATATTACTATCTCTTGGTTTTGATTGTGCTCTCTATGGTAACCCACAAGCAGAACTGGAGCTTTTCGGTGACCTTAAAAGCAGATTCCAGTTTGCATAATTACTTTCCAGTCTAGATTTCAACTATGTTGTCAGTACTGGACTTCCAGGGGTTTGAACACTTGCACATTTTGAGGAGATTGCAACATCCTCATAAGAGTTTTTACCTTTTGTCATCAATAGATATATAATTACATAAGCGTCAATAGCTGTTTTAAATTTTGACTATCGTGCAACCATATTTAGTTTTATTCAGGATGTGGAAAATATTTATTTCAATAAAGCCATAGGTACATCTGCAATTCTTATTACATCATTTCTGCGTTATGCCCCATGCTGCTGTTAGCACAGAATTACTATAACCGTAGCTAATGCCGAAGTGAGCATTTGTCCTTTTGTTCTTCCATCAGTAAAGCGCATTGGTGTCTGTAATCAGGCTTCCATGTCCTCAAAGGGCTTTAATCAATCCCCAGGAGCTCACCAAAGAGTAAATTTCAATTCTACTACAGTCCCTAAAATTGCAATTTTGGGGTTTTTTTTAGTGGTGACTCAAAGCAAAAATTTGTGCTGTTTTTAACTCCTCAAGAGAAGAGGTGAGAAAAAAGAATAAAACTGAAAGCAGATACTTCACCTACATGGCTCATAATGGTCTCCAGTATAGGATCATCTGTCTGTCATGCTCCTTAATTGGGCCTGGGTAGATAAAGGAGGGATTAAAGTCCTCCCTTGTTTATGGGAGAGTGTCAGAGTGACCCTGCAGGCTCAGGAGCCTGATGAGGGGTGGGAAGGGAATATGGTGGGAAGTGTTGCTGACACCACCCACGCTAGCAGCAAGACTTAGTCACATTGCCGCCTGTGAAAATGGATTGGGTTTTATCTTGAACGGCCCAAGTCAGGAAGTGTGTTTTTTCACCACAGATCTGAAACTGCCTACCCCAGACGAGGGCCGAAGATCCTGTCGCTGAGCGAATGATGAAATGGTTGTCAGCACATTCCCTTATCTTCCTCTTTCTTACCATGTGCGCAGCAAGAACCAAAGTGCCAAGACGTTAACCCAGTTAGTCAGCACAATCCTCGCGTACGGCGGGGAGGCAGGGGATGATTTTTTTTAACATCGTTACTGGCGGTTTGTGCAAATTCTCCCGTGGCGTCCCCGGGGTGTGAAGGGGTGTGCATATATTGCTGAGCAGGATAAATGTGACTGAGAGTGCTGTTCCTGACTCGGGCATGGAAAGTAACGTTTCTGAAAGTTATG